ATTAAGTAAATAAAATTTCATAAAATAAATATTTCCCAAATAGCACAGAGAGTTCAAAAAGAATTCATTTGTATGTCATCTGTATGTCATCAATTCTGAATTCATTTTCAAATGCAAAAAAATTCTTTGCATTTAGTAATTAAAAAAAAATTTCTTTTGCATCTGAAAATGAATTCAGAATTGGTGATATACAGGTGACACAAATAAATTTTTTTTGAACTCTGTGCCATCTGGATTCATTATAATCTAAAATATATAAAATATATGAAAACTTTGGATCATTCATTTCAATATCTGTAATTGGTACTGGAACCTCTGTATTGCTGAAATGTAAAATAAAATATTAAATATAAATTAATTATAAAATTTTATAGTAATAATATATATCTATTATTATAAATAGAAAATATAATTTATTACCTGTTCTTATTTATTTCTTCAATTTCCATTCCTGTTTCATTTATATTTCTGCAACATATATTTGATAACATAAATAAAGATTCTTGTTCTTTTCCACAAATAAAATAATATAAAATAAGATATCATTATAAAACATGCCAAATATTTAAAATCAATATACCCACTCGTTTCTTCTTCATGTTATTTTTCTATTTTATTTGTTATATCATTTCTGAAAATAAATTTCTTTTATTTCCTAATTCAAATAAATTATTCTTCATTGTGTGTGTATGTGTGTGTGTATGTGTGTTTTACTTTTCTTAAATATTGCTATTAATATTAAAGTGATTATATATAGTTACAAAACTTACTCTATGTTAAAACCTGATCCAAAAAATATTATTAGGATGGCATCAGGAAGACGAGCTCTACTTTCATTTAATTTGTATCATTTTTTATCAAAATGTAAATGGCACAATCTGCAATTTTGGTAAGCATATTCTGGTCCTTTTGGTTTTAAATCCATCTTTTTGCATGCTTTCACCTATTGCAATCATCTATAAATATCATAATATTTTAATTTATTTCAATATACATGTTTTGTTATAATTAAAAACATGATTTATATAAAAAGTAATAATTAAACAGTATACCTATCATGTTTCTTAGGAAATCTGAAAAGGAAACGTTTCTCTACATCCAATGTTGACATACATTCTGATATTGCACACCATGGAGTTTTTTGCTACCCATCTTTATAGATATGATATCTTATGATATTTATAAAATATAATTTAAAATCCAGATTACAGCTACACCTGAAACAGAGCTAAGATCAAAATGCTTTTTCAAAAAAATAAGAAACTTATATATTTATATAAGTCAATTATTCTCTCAGAAAAGGAAATTTCTCATCAGCTTTTTCTTTTTAAATCCACTCTAAATTCACTTTTACTTTTTGCACAAAAACTGATTCACAAATCACTAAATCACTAATCACAAATTATAAACACAAATTACGCAAATAATCATTATCGTTCTCTAAAATTACTTCTCGAAATTGCATCTAACACACCAAACATATCTAGACATTTAAACGGCATATCTAGATGTTTAAACGGTATGTTTTGTTAGAAAGAGACAATATGAAGAAAGAAGAAGTGAGAAAGAAGATTAGATGGCATTACACGGCAACTTACTTATTTTGCGCATGCGCACTTCGTTTTGGTTAACAAAATTGGAAGAGTTGCGCTACTGTATATACTGTGACACAGGTATCGTTCTATCTTTCTTGGCTTTCAATGATTGAAGGACAAAATGATACTTGTGTCGACTTGTGTCACTAAATGGAAAGCACCAATTGTAGATTTGCTATTGCTTATGTTATTGCCTTAAGTGGCATCTACAATGAGACTTTAAGATGTAAAACTTAAAAAATTGACCAATTATAATCGATTTATAGAAGAATAATCGATTGTTGGCCAATTTCTTAAGTCTTATTGTAAACACTGCTTTACGTTCTCGACTGTGATTGACTAAGTGTCAGTCCACAATAAGTATTTAATCTTTAAGTCGTAAGAAATTGACCAATCATAGTCGATTATTCTTTTCATATTCGATTATAATTGATCAATTTCTTACTTCTTAAAGCTTAAATCACCTATTGTGGACCGACACTAATTTGCTTACTGCTTAAGTTTTACTTAAGCTTAAATTTTCTTGTGTGCCATGGTCCTTAAGTCTAGTCTACAATGACATAACATAAGGCTATAAAGCTATAAGGCGTGGTTGTAAGAACCTGTTAAATGAATTATTTTCATTTCTTATGCTTAACAACCTTACGTCACAATATACAGCACAGTAATACTGGGTGAGGTTCAATCGGACATATTGCCATT